TGCATTCTGGTTTAATTTTTCGAAGATTAAATTTCCACCAGTTTTCATTATTCTTTCATTTTAAGTTAGTGTGTATCATAGCAAAAATTTTTATTTTTTGCTTTTTACCTTTTCATTTATTGGTATTTTCTTTCTGTAAATCGATTAACTTGATGATTTTCTGATTTTTAAAACTGCATTTTAAAAATTTAGGATATCATATTAATGCTGTTTCGTAAAATTTCACTGTTTCTTGCAGTTTTTAACTACCTAGCTAAAGAATATTAGAAACTAAAATTTTCACTCTTAGGTATTTCTAGATGAGCATATTCATATATTTATATAACTTCGCTACCGCGTGTGCAATTTTCTGGGAGGGATAGGTTACTCTAAGACACGAATCAGAATGAGCTTGTATTACTGGGTCAGAAACTCAATAGCAACGCGAGAGAGGGAATTACTTGTGAACCGGTAAAATGACCACGCAGGAAAATTACAATTCAATAATTCCAGAATGAATATAACATATGGAGCTGCTGATTGTAATGGATGAGCCTGCACCAGAAGCGCTACTGATAAATCGTATTCCGAACATTACACAGCTGCATCAAAGATTATGTGAAAGGAGGTTCATTTCAGAGATGTACCATGAAGTGGTACGGACCAATGAAATCGGAAAGATGGTGTTTCATCATACAAAAGGCACTCATACAAAGTGCCAATACACGAACAATCACTACTTGCTTAGGTCTTCCACAAACCACCGTCTGGAGGACCCTAAACTCGAACCATCATGGGCAGTGCATACAGCTACTGAATTCTGAAGATTACCTGCAGAAGATTGCTGTTGCTCAATGGTATCTGCAGAACAGTGTGGTGTGTCTCTTTTTCTGACTATTTCATAGACGAGACATACTTCACCAGGAAATGTTTGTTCAAAGCACGTAACTCGCATGTATGGGTATTGCAGACCACATGTTATACACAAATCTGCAGCATAGCATAACACTGGTTTGCTGATAATGTTTGATCTAGCATTATGGGGTATCACTTAATATGCCTATATCTTCTGCTTGTTCACTTGAATAAATGGTGGTTTAAGGCATTTAGGAGGAAATCTTGCCCGAATTGTTGACAGACCCAACAGATCCAGCAATCGTTGTACTACGATATGTGGTTACCGCATAATGGGGCCCTAATTCATATCATTCGGGAAGTTCGGAAGCGCTTTAGTGCGACAGCCAAATGTCCCTGAAAGCTAATCAAAATATCTTACAACAGTGGCTCAGGCGAGATGGTCCCATTCATTTACCTGCATGATCGCTTCTCTTGGGTTACATGAAAGGTTGATGTATGATACACCATTGGTTGTATCTTTTTTCACTCATCTGCATAGCTACTGTGGCTATACAAGAGGCGCCAGTAATATTTCAAAATATCAGTGATTTCACACGACGATATCAGGTGATGTATGAGCAAGTGGCTGAAACTTTGAGCAAATCTCTAAATTCTACAACTGTTACACTTTTACGGATAAACTCATCTTCAGTTACGCTTTGCTCTTTCGTTTCTCATGCTCTCAACACACCTGCACACAACGATGGCGTTTCCGATCTTGCACTGCTATCTACCTCACCCAGAAGCTTGTATACGGGGTAGAGAATCACTCCATATCTATTGTTTTTCCAGAGAAACTGTGAATCAAGGCTCGAAAATCTTGCTTGTACCTCTCGTTTAGTGTTAACTTCGATTTCATGCAAAATACAGCGTTATAGCTGAAAATCTCAGAATTTGGGAATTACACATGGTAATCATCTATCATTTTTTTTTTCTCCCAAGACTAACATTTTAAGAAATATTACCAGTTACTCTACCTATGGATTTCTAGTCTTAGTAACAAAAGAAGTATTTAAAGCACTGTCTGTGGTGCTTCATACCAGCATACATCCAAACATTGAAGAGATGTGCAAGAATTGGCAGACTCAATCCACCTCATTAAGAAGAGTTCTAATATTTATTTCTTTTTTAGTTAATAAGATAAAAATTATCCAAACTCTAATAGCCTTGATTTATTAAAAGCCATTATAAATTTTCTTCTATTAACTTAATACCAATATAAAATTTAATTAATTTTAATTAACTGTGTTTTAAGTAGTAACTTACAGTTAGTAGGCTAAAAAAATTATTTCGAAGGGAACAAGAGTAAGATGATGCGCAGAACTTTATAATTTATAAAAGAGGTTCCTACTTGAAAAAAGTCTGAAAACGGTGGTTTAAGATAAACTGGCTTGAATTCTGTGTGGAAATTTAGCAAAACACCCACGTAGACAGCAGATCCTTCAGAATTCGGATACGAATACAGTGCTACTTATCAGTGCTCATATTCATACTATCCCTTGTGGGCTGTAGTAATGTATCTGCATATTTTATGGGATGTATGGAAAAAGTTCTACTTGTTTTTTAGTTAAAAAGAAGAAAAGCAGCGGAGAAAACAGAAAGTGAGAAGTATCTGATTCCAAATAATCGGCATCACTGTAATTAATTTTTGCCATTTGTCTAGCCGATAAAACTCTCCTGCTTTACAGTGAAAACGTCATGCTTTCCTGTCCCCTCTCATCATCATCGAAAGCCTTTTATAAGGGGCAAGGCAGGGAGAAATGCCTACGTAGGATAACATGAATAACCTTTGCTGAACTATTAAAGCAGCTTTATTATAATGAACGATTGTGACTGACAAACACCGATTGCTTAGATGTTAGTTCTACTTCCAATCTGTCTAGCAGCGGTCAGCTCATATCACTCGCTTATATGCAAGCATCTTTCTGTGGATTGTACCTCGAACATCCAAGCATACAATTTTTGTAGTGTAGTCCTCATTTTGAGGTAGATATGGCAAACAAACTTTCGACACTTGACATTATGGTACAACTTCCATCTCAAATCCACAACTAAAATTTCTTCCAGAAATGTTTCACAACTATAAAGAGAAAGTAGACGAATCCAGATATCGATATTCTTCTCTAGTTATTTCACAGAAAACTGGTGTGAAACTCATTGATCAAACTTTGTGTTGAAGCTAAGCACTTGCATGTGTTTTCAAACATAAACAGAACCATTATAAAATTATGAGAAATATGCGATTTTAGATATTAAATATTTTTGTTTCCTATCATGCTTATTTTACTTAATTCTGCATGCTGTAAATATACTACATGATTTTAAATTCTTAAAAATGTTTGCTTTTTAAAATTTTTTTCTAAGTACAAAAATTTTAACTGTGTTGTGCTAGCTACATATATAGGATTCTATGATAAAATGGAATACAATAGGATTCTACAGTAAAATTAAATATTGAAATGCACATTTAAGCCATTTATAACACACCTGAGGGTCAAATTGAATATAAACTTCCTTCATTATTTCTTAAAATAAACCTTTTACCTTAAAGCACCAAACATTTTAAGCATTTAAAAATTACACAAGCTCTTAAATAAAGCTATATAGCAAAAACACCACTCAGAATATAGACTGGTAAACGAAAGAGATTCTTGGAAGTCATTCTACAAGGTAACCAAAAAGTTCTCACCGTTTTGAACAGTCAGAAAGAAAAAGTCATAAACTAATAATAATCACCACTAATTCCTCAAAGTAATCACCATGGGCAACCAGTGCCTTTTGCCAACGAGTGGCTAGCTATGCGATACTGTTGCAGTAAAACTCAGGAGTCTTGGAAACAAAGAAGTCCATGAGGGCCTTTTCGAGGTCTGGCCACTTGTTGAAGGATTTTCCATAGTCTGTTAGTGTGAGGTCTGGGGAGTATGGGGGATGGGGTAGTGTCTCCCAGCCCAGTCGCTGGGTGGTGTCCCTGGCCTCTCGAGTCACATGCGGCCTCGCATTGTCATGGAGGATGAGTACACCCTTACGATTGACCAATGCTGGTTCTTGATGCATCAGTGCCTGATGCACACTGCACGTGTTCTAACTGCTGTGAGTACAGGCCTGCCATGATGGTTTTCCCCAATGGCAGGTGCTCATAGTGCACCAACCACTTGGTGACTAGTCCACCAGATACTAAGCATGATCTTGCATGGGTGGATAGAAAGTCTCGCAGTGTGAGGCACAGGGTCCCGTGGTGACAGCAAATGTCTGGAATGCCTGGGTGTGTCATACTGGGCCCATTTTTCATCTCTGGTGAGTACTCAATCAAATATGGATGCACTGCAGTGCCGAGTAAGTAATGACAAACAGGCAGCGACATGCTGTTGCTTGTTTGCATCGGACAGTGAGTGGGGTACCAACTTGCTGAGCTTATATCCTATGCAGTGCAAATGGAGTCTGATCATTTCATCAGATACCTGGAAGTGTGCAACAAGCTCACCACACGTTTGGCTACAGTCACTAACTATGGCTGCTCTCAGGGCCTCATTGTCCAGCGCTTGTGGCCGACCACTGTGTGGTGAATCACTAGGAGATATATCGAACTTCTGGAACCATTGCTTAGCGGTTCATTCACTAATGACATCATCCCCAAAGGCCTGGCAAATTCGGTGACTTGATTCTGCTGATGACAGGCCCACTTAAAAATCAAACAGCATACAACTCCGAACGAGAGTTGTATGTATGCTGCTCTGGCAATATGAAAAAAAAAAAAAAAAAAAAACCATGTTTGCATCCATTTCAATCAGTCGCTGTGAGAGTTATGTTTGAAGTACTGATGCAACATGCTTTTATACTTTTTCAATGTCCTGACTCCCTCCTAAACACTTCATCACCAGGTTTGGTGACTATTTTTATGTTAGGGTGCACTTTTCCAATGTCATATCAGAAACGGCAAGAACTTTTTTGGTTACCTTGTATATGCCATTCAATATGCACTGATGTGAAATCCTGTCAGTTTTACAACAAAAGTTTCAGAACAGCTTGAAGAAACTGCATATATAGTCTAGAGAGGCAATAATGCCAGATTTACTAAAAATTTATTTATCTGAACCGAAGAATTAAAAATAATAGAAGTAAAAAAAAACTGTAACAATATATTCTTTATTAATAAATTTTAACAGTTATAAAAATACAATAAGGTAAACGTATATTAAACACAGAACACCTTTTAACAAATCAGTTTTGTAACAGGACATCACATAAACTCAATTGTAAATTCAAAATTTCCTTATCATTGCAATAATGCTTCAAAATTTAAATGAAAGTTTAAAAAACATGGATTAAAAATAGCAGCAAACTTCACATGAAGGTCACTTTGCAAAAATTTTGTAATTCTACTTAAATTTCATTTGAGTTTTATTTTGTTGCCAAAATATATTTTGTTAAATGCTTTAAGTTTCATAACTGACAGATGACAGAAATTAACTGTATAACACTTTTATATCAAATATAATAAATATACTGATAAAAATCTCAAAAAATGTATTACCTTCATATGCAAAATATCTGTTACAAAAAATTTACAATCTAAAACATTTTACGAGGCATTTAAAAATAATGACATATGAATAAATAATGATGATTACCTTCAAGGAGGAAAAGCAATAATGAGGATAAAAAGGTTATGAGCATGATGTTAAATATGCCTTTACTTAGCCAAGCAGTTTAAAAACATGTTTGCCAGTTAAATAAACTTCAGTTTAGTTCACAAGCTATCATGTGGTATATCAATAGAAAGTTTTCATGAAAAATTCTTAACTAATTCAGGAACCAGCACGTCAAAATGAAGAAGAATCCACCAGCACCTAAAATTGTGTCTAATGTTACATTTTTGGTATTAATTTTACTATTTGAGCTAGAAAATTTAACTATTTTACATAATGTAAAAATGGCAAACATGTTGTTTTCTAAATACATACAAAGTTAAATCAAACTGATATGCATTAAAGACCAAGTTCCATCTCTCTTAATTACATTTAACTGCAGTACTTTGAAATATTAAAATATTATAACAGAATTCTACACACTCATAAACGTTTAAATTTCATCAGAATATATTCTGTTTCTTTTAAGTCAGGATCAATATCCATAGATGCATTATTGCAGGATTCCACTTGACTAGTTTTAGCTTGTGATGCACTTTTACGTTTAGCTGATTTCTTTGAAGTTTTTGAAGATTCTGCTCTTGTTCTTTTATAAGCATTAACTTTGTTTCGAAACAATTTCATCCTGTTAAAAATTAAAGTCGGAAATTAACAATTTAATTATGAAACATTTAAAAAATAATTTAAGAAACCCTACAAAACATAAACTCTTTTTGAAAACTTCATAACTTTTTTTAAAAAATGCATAAACAAGCCTTTCAGAATAATAATGAGACTAATTCATTAAAATTAATTGCATTTATATTTGCAAGCCTAATTTAGCAAATATGTACGATTCAAATGAAAACCTTAAAAAACGACAATGAAGTTTTGAAAAGTTGTATGGTTGATTTGTAAGCTGCCAGGAGTTAACACTGAAATAGTATTCATCTATAATGGTTATTTAGCTACACTATTTATCAAATGTGATAAGGTAAACGTATATGATGTCTAAGTGGCCCATAAAGTCCATTTAAGTGAAAAAAACTCACACTATTTGTTAAGAGATAAAGAAATAGCATTAGTTACTAAATGGATGCAAAAGAAATTCTCTGGAAAGCATGCATGCATGTTTCTCATCAGTATCAGGCAAACATTACACATTCAGTCTTTGAAGAAACTGCAAAGCCACATCAATTTCATTTTGTATTACAGACAAAGAACATATTAAACTTCATAATATAGAGAGTAACCTGGCATGAAAAAAAGGCTAAGAATTAAAAATGTTTACACTGGCAATATGAAAACTTTAAATTCTGTGTTTCCAAAATTCACCACATTTTTAAGCTTCAAACAACATATTTGCATTGCACAAAATACCTAATTTTTGACAGACCACTACCTATATTAAATTGATGGGAATGTTAAGAAGAAAAAGAGAAAGGCAGCAATAGAGAGAGAAACGGCAGATTAAAAAAAAAAAATCCTCAGAAATTCTACTACTTCAAACTAGCAATACTTTATGCTACTAATTACACTCTAACACAGTGGTTCTCAACCTTTTCATTAACGCATAACATGTAAACAAAAACTGAAAAACTTTAGTACCACTACATTTTACAATGATTATTTTTAAATTTCTCAATAGAAATGTTAAAAATATATATTTCACCATTTGCACAATGTTTTGGCTATTTATTAAATATGCACACATAAAAAATTTTAGATTAAAATTGGTTACTACTTTAATTATCAAAATTTAAATTATACTACTTTAATTCTAAAATTTAGTGTGAAATTTTGGCCTGTTTAAGAGATATGAATTTCTTTACATTTGGCCTTATTTCGATTAGTTTTAAACCGTAAATTAGGATCCACTTTTAATTTTGTTTTGTGTTTATTTTTCAAATGTAACATGGAAAAAAATCCTTTTTCACACACATAGATTGTACAAAAAGGCAATAAAAACTCAATAGCTTTATTTGATATGCCTTTAAATTCTTTTTTCAGTTCAGCCAAAAGTTTACAATTATGTTATTTTTGAAATTTCAGTTTTAGAGTTCAATCACAAGAAAGTTTTATCACTTGTTTTTTAATTTTGGGTACATTTGAGCAAACTGATGTCTAATCCAGTTTTCTTTTTCATAATACTGGGGAAAATACATTTTGAAATTATTTATCAATGAAAAACAATGATTTTTAATGTCGGATGCTAATTCTTCTTTTATTTTGAAATTAGTTTCAGTTAGAAAACTCTCTAAAATATGTAAAAAGCTTGAAATATTATTATCCATTTCTTTGATTGAGCTCGAGTTTCTTTATCTTTGCATTTATTTTATCTCTAATGGTAAACAAATTAACACTTTGTCCTGGTATTCCTAAGTCTAATTCAGTTACCTTTCCAAAAATATCAGCTAAATATACTACACGCGCCAACCATAATTCACTAAAAAAACATTTTTGCAATTCAAATTCTGAAACACAGAAGAAAATTTGAAATTCTGATCGAAGTTCAAAAAGACGATTTAAAATTTTGCATCTGGATAACCACTTACTTCAGAATGGCTGCCCATTCCTGGGCTTTTAATAAAATTAACAGTTTTCACAGCTTGATTCAAAGCGATTTTGAGGTTTTTGAGGATTGTTTTGGCTACAAAAACTTCATGATGAATGGAGCAGTGAGTAGATTTAGTTTCAGATTTGACTTCCGTTATTTGAGAAATAAAAATGGAATGTTTCCCTGTTAAAGTCCGAGCTCCATCACTGCATACAGCATTCTAGTTATTCCAAGGAATATTATTTTCAGACTTCTCAATTACTCTGAAAATTTCACTAGCAGTTGCTCTATCATCACAAGATTCACAAAATAAATACTCTTCAGCGATTTATCTTCTTTGAAAAGTATGTAAACTAATAATTGAACAAAGTTCATTATATCAGTACTTTGAACCAATTCCAATGCGAAATACTCACTGTGTTTTATTTTTTAAATAAGTGTCTCTTGTATGGAATTTGCGATTCCATGGATTTGTCGACTTACTGTGTCATTTGATAACGGAATAGTATTAAGTTCATTAACCACTTTTTCGTTGAATAATGTTAAAACAATAACTTCAGCTGCTGGAAATATAAGGTTTTCTCTAATAGTATGAGCCTGTCCAGTTTTGGCAATTCTTAGGCTTACCAGGTAAGCCTAAGAATTTTTCTTTTCATTTTTCTTTTCAATATTCTTAGTGCTATTAGATTGTCCTAGATCCATCACCTGTGAATCATCACTTTTCCGCTTAGTCAATCTTACCCATTTTTCCATTTTGAAAAATCTAGGTTTGTTTTATTATTTTTTACAATTATTTAAACTGGCTTCCAAAGCTTTTCAATTAAAGTAACAAAACCTTTCATTACTTGACTACTATTTTTGAACTCCGATAATTTCCTGTTAAAATATTCTTCAGATTTATCCTTTAAATTGGCATGCTTAGATTCAAGATGTCTTTTACTAAATGATGATTTGATACAGTACAAAGTCTGTAATCCGGACTCGTCGGGACTTTGGCGATTCCGGATTAGGGGTTTTTCTGAATTAAAGATCATCAATTTAAATCTGCTAAGATGGCACGCAGAAATTATCTAATTAAAAATATGAAACTGTAATTTATGAAATAAAGAGCAATTATGCTAAAGGATATCAATTTTTTTTAAAAAAGCTTAATATTTATTTGTTTACTTTATTAAACATTTCTTTTAATGTGCGCATGCGTAATGTATGCGCATTCTTTAAGTGCATGCGTAAAGTTTGTGGCTTTATGGTTCGGATTATAGATCATTCCGGATAATGGACATATGGATTCCGGATAATGGACATATGGATAATGGACTTTGTACTGTACTTTGATTGGATAAGAGTTCACCAAAAACAAGACATTAAGGCTGAGGGTCAATTTCACTTCCATTCCAAATAAACCCAAATGATAAATAACTTTCATTATATTTTCTATAAAACATTTTTCTTTTCAATATTCTTAGTGCTATTAGATTGTCCTAGATCCATCACCTGTGAATCATCACTTTTCCGCTTAGTCAATCTTACCCATTTTTCCATTTTGAAAAATCTAGGTTTGTTTTATTATTTTTTACAATTATTTAAATGCCCATTTAATTACCAGTTCTTCAAATACAAACAACAATATTCTCAAATTGTGTAGAAAACTAAAGAATGCAAAACAATAAGAATACAAAATATCTGTGGCTAGAGAAAGCAAACTGACATAAAAAAAATTACTGCAATTGAAAATAGAGCAGTATGAGCCCGAAAATGGTGGAGGCATAAAGTATCGACTTGCTAATAAATCGGTCAACTCTACAAGAATTAATGAGATACTATTATCTTTTTACAGGAACTTATTTTTATGCCTTAAATACAACATCCATTTCTATTACTTCTTTTTAAAAAAATCATTTGTGAAAAATTTTGTTGTCTATAGCTAAAACAATATTTGTGAAAATAATAACTGATGATTTTGCTCAAGTTTATGAGCGGCTATTGACCTTGAACAAAACTCAGATCGCATAAATTTACGAGTGTTAGAGAAAAAAACTTATGTTGCTGGGGTATTTAATTTTTTAATTTAATAATTAAAATTACTTTGTTTCTTTATGTACCACCTATTTTTCTCCTGTTTACCACCGGTTGAGAATCACTACACTAACATACTGATAATAGTGTATTTACATCTTCCTGTATATTTAACAATAGTTTAAAACTGAAGTCATTCACAAAAAAGGGAATTACAAATTTTTTTTGAATTACCATATTCATCCAAAAGTAAAACCCCTTTCCTGTTTGCTATATTTTTGTTCTAAAATTTAATAAGGTCTTAAATTGGGTATTTTAATAAAAATTTCCTCAATGAAAGGAACGAGTTTACTATATAGAATAATCATACTGCTTAAACACTGACCACAAAGGAAATTAACCATATACACAAGGTGATTCAAAACTAGAGGAAGAAACTTCTAGGAGGCATAGGCCTAGATGACTCAAAATACCATAGCAATGTAGGATTGGAAATGCAATCCTAATAAGATAGTGCTTTTAGAGTCTGTCGCAGGAAAACTATTGACAGCTATTCACAAAGGTATTAAAATGGAAAGCATGACTACATCGTGATTGCAAATTGACATTTAAAAACCATAAGCTTTAAAAAAAAAACCCACTTTTCTGATAATGAAGTTTCCTAAAGTTTTGTAATGTGGGCATCACATGGAATAAAGGAAGAAATATGTTGGGCATCTGTTGGACATTCACGATAGCCACGATGATGTGCCATTTCAAAACATCTCAGATCTATAACTTACTTCACGTTACAAAATGTTGGGGACCTTTATCACTTATGGTCTTTAACTGCCAATTTATAATCACGTTGTATTTATATTTTCCATTTTAACACCTCTGGAGTGGCTGTCGATAGTTTCCCTGCTACAGTCTCTAACAGGCCATCTCGTTGCCATTTCGAGTTGCATTTCTGAATCTACATAGCTATAGGATTCTGAGACATCTAGGTGTAGCCTATCTCTTCTAGAAGTTCGTTCTAGAATATTCTCTATTAGTTTTGAATCACCTTGTACATATAAAAACATACACACTGTGTCCATAAAAGCCTTTATCTGAGACATCTAGGTGTAGCCTATCTCTTCTAGAAGTTCGTTCTAGAATATTCTCTATTAGTTTTGAATCACCTTGTACATATAAAAACATACACACTGTGTCCATAAAAGCCTTTATCCAAGCTTTATATTCACAGCTGTTGGTCAAAGATATATACTTCCGGTTACAGAAACTTTTAAATGACAAAGATTCATGTTTTCTTTTTTCTTTTCTTTTCTTTTCTTTTTTTTTTTTTTTTTAATAAAAAGAATAATTTATTATAAAACAAAAATTCTCTGGCTATATACTTACATTCAAGAAAATTCTGTACTCATTATAAGAAATGAAACACAGAAAAAGTGAAATTCTTTTACATTTACTTTTATCAGGAATCCCTATAAATGATACAAAATTTACTTAAATGTATATATAGGGGCAAAAGGGGTGCATTAAAAAACTATATTTCGTATTTTATATAAAATTCTATTTTTAACTTAAAAATACAAAAACATCACGGTTTGGTTTGTTTAACCATGGCAAAGCACTGAAAGGCTATCTGCCTAAGGGTAAGGATTCCTTCATGAAAGCCATTTGCCTTATACTTTACTCATGGGGGAAAACTATAAAAACTCCCATGTAGACAGCCTGTTTGCCGGGATTTGAACCTCGGACCAAACTAACAGTGTTCCAAGACTTTACCACTCAGCTGCTAGTGGACTCATGAAAACATGAAGCTTTGCACGATTTAAAACAATTTTTTAATTGAAAGGAACAGTTGTGAAAATAACTAGATAAGAGCTTTGTGCATAGGGTATATACCAGAAAATGAAATTTTAGAAAACTGTTCAGTGTATATATTCAATTTGTCTACTGGAAGATTTTGATGGTTCACTAAACACACAATCTTTTTTAATTTAATATAATGTTTCTCAACCTCTTTTGCCTTATGTATTTCTTTAATCATTGCTAAATGATCATTCCCTTCTCCTTCTCAAAACTAAAAAAAACAAGTAAATATTTATTTAAATTTAGATTATGTTTTACTGTGTCTTATAAATTAGAGTACATAAAATATTGATAAATATCAAAACTTCAATAAAAAGTAGTTTTTTGTAGTCATAAATTTAAATTAAATACTTCACTTGTAAATTAAAGGATAACCACATTTCTTTCCTTAAACTACAAATTTTCCCTCAAGGGGTATTCTCTCTGGGTTAATATAATGCTAGTGTTCATTATTTTGAAAAAAATATTAAAATGTACACCACATTTCATATTTTCATACATCAAAATACAATTATACAAACAAACAACACAAGAAACTAAATTTGCATTTGAATAAGATTTTAAGCCTAATTTAAAAATTATTAAAAATTATGAATCATTTCTCAAAAAAATTTAAGCTTTAATCAGCAAATATTATGTAAAAATGTTATAATTCCTAATTAAAGGTTGAAATTTACTTTCAGTTACAGATACTTTTATTCATGTTGTAAATAGCCATCATGCAAGTGGACCTTAAACTCTCTACTATTTATACTACTGAAAAATTCCACTTGAAGAATTTTCAGAGAAAAACAAAATAATTATGATAGCAAGAACTGATAATTGGGTAAGAGTAGCTTATGAAGGGTTATTATTTACATAACCATCAAGGTTGAAAAGCACCACACCATCCCTTAGCAATAATGCTAGTTTCTCGTATGTGATTTAAATACTGATGTCTTTGCCTGCATATTTATGATCTTAATAGCATAACTGATAAAAATTTATTTTACTTATGTAACATGTATAATTAAGAAGCTCAATCATTTTCATATTCAGAAGCAGCTCAGTTAGCCAATCAAATGAACACAGAATAGTATAGCTTAAGAAGTATACTGTTAAACATTTAATATATACATACTGTACTCCAGGAGAAAAGATTTTAGCATGGAACTTAGCACCATCTTTTAACATAGCTATAGCAAGTCTTGCAATATTTTTAGTATCATCTTTCCCCGAATGCAGCCTTCCTTCAAAATCCATCCCACACGACAGAAGCATATCAGTAAGTTTGCTCTGTAAATAAACACAAAATTTTCTCAGAGTAAGAAAAATGTAATAAATGTTGGAAAAACACATATCCATGTACACTACAAAAATGTTAGAATGAAAGTAGAATATTTCTTCTCTTTCTCTTCCAGGATTTACTAAAGCGATAAGACAAAGCATATAAGGATATAAATCACTATAGCACTAACTGTATTGGTAACATTTACTTCTTTTGAAAAGTTTTCTTGTTTGAATTTTCATCAGATTTCTGTCATTGAGAATTTCAGAATCTTGGGGGAGGGAAGATAACAGAAAATAATGTATGAACAAAGGAATTAAATGATTTCTTTTTGCAAGAATGAATTTCCTTGGCATATTCAGCTTCTATAATCTTTTTCAGTATTTCTTCTCTGATTGCTATTAAAACCCCCATAGATCATCATAAATTAATTGATTTATAAGACCTTTTATACTTATTTAACTGTTTTATTCTTTTATTTTTCCTTTTCTAGTGGCATTTAATTCTCATCCCCCACTGTTTAATATTAAATGTTTTCCCTTGCACCTGAAATTAACAGTCCTATGGCCCTGTGTCAATGCCTTATCTTAATATTTCCAAATTATTGCTATAAACACATAAATCACGAAACATGAGATATTTTGTACTGTTTTTACACACAGGCAGACCTTAAATATTTTTTTTAGAAATGGTTGGCTGAAGTGCTTAGTAATGACTGAATTCTTGAAGGACTTAATTTTATTAGTCTGTGTATTTATAATGCATGATACTATTTTAAGTTAGCATGATTTATTGCAGTGAAAAAATTTCTTTCCCTGAAAATTAAGAAAAATTCTGAAAGAATTGTTAATAAAAAAATCCAGCTGTTTAAGACTGAGTTCTTAACAGAAACCTTCATAAAAAAATTAATTTGTATTATTGATTACAACTCAATATCCCAACTGAAATATTTCCTTAACTGTGGGGGGAGGAGGAGGATGTTGTAATATAAAATAGAAGGAATTTGTTTATTTTACAGCTTCTGATTTGAGTGGACAGCCTATATTGATAATGATTATATACTACCCATTATTATTTTCACAATTTAATAAAGCTAATCAGATTTTTCATGTCTGTTCAGCTTTTTCCAACTTACAAACTGGAGCTTTTATTTGATGGTAGATTAACAATGAAATATGGTTAATGCTTAAAAAGTTACATTACTATATAAAATAAATTTTAGAGTTATTTTTAACACTTAAAAAAACCTCATAACCCTAACAGTTTTGACATTGTACAATCATAAGATTTGTTCTAGTCACAGTAATTGATTCATTGTTGTTTAATGGCCTTTACATTCAAATTCCAGAATAGTGTTCGAACAGCAATAAAGATGTTCATGTGATGTGCAAATGGAAAACATTCATTTTAGTGAATAAGTTATAAAAAAAATACAAGATAGTACAAAATCATCATATTCCCAAAACAGTCAATAATGTCAATGAAAACTACATAGCAAAAAAACTACATTAGTTCAATTATTACTTTTTCTAATTTATATGCTTTCTGATAAATATCTTTGACATCAATGTGGTGAACAGCCCAAGAAGGAAAATCTATCTGGCTGATAAGACACTGCAAAACTAAAAATTTTCCAATATCACAGGTCCTGAAAATAAAAATTTCATGCATGATGGTTAATTATTTTTGCTAAAATAAGAACCTGTAATAAATATGATGATCAAAACAGCTTTTATGAAATCAGCAAAGAAACATATTTTACTTACATTAGATAAATTGATTATTTTATTTACATCAGGTAAATATACTTTTAAGGCCTCTTTAAAAGTTTACACATTCAAGTTATTGAAGTGACAAATATGCTCAGAAAGTTTATGTAAGAACTGAAATAAATAAAAAGGGGAATGGGCCTGTATATTTTTGAAAACGTAAATGTACCCTTATGTCTGAAAGCTAAAGAATTCACCCTCATATATTGCTGCATGAAAGAAAAGGCAAAAAGCAATACAACCTTTACTGGTCATCAAACTTAAAAGATAAAAAAATTATGCTCACTGAATTAATGTTGCAACCAATGCCCAGTGCTGTAATTACACTGTTGGTTATATAATTCTTGATATTCATCTATACGAAACTTAAGATTACATTTAAATTTTAAAGCACGCTCCATGTCAGGATCACAAGCAAAGAAATGTTGTTCCACACTTGTAGGAAATTTCAAGCCCTCGTGAATTAAACCATCTGTTAATAGCTGAACTTCACCTTTGACTTCGTCCATATCGCAGTTTGATCAGTGATTTAATTTACGTCAATTCAATAGGGGGAATGGCATCAGAAGTTTGAACTCGATAAACGAGACCTTCCTCACCTGCTCGACAGCTATTTCGCACATTTGCATAAGGCTGGATGAATGCCCCTCTTCGATGTGGCAGAGCCACTCCTGCTTTGGAGAATCTTTCGTTCTTAACATTACAAATTCTTTGATGAAGTAGACCAAATCTCTAACACATGTGTGGGTATAAACCAACCCAACGTCTGATCATTAGAATTTAAAAAAAAGGGGGGGTATTTGCACTAGAACAAAAAATTCATGTAAAAAAAAGTGTTTGTGTTCTTATTGGTGAACTTTGTTATTTCAAAATTGCGTAAAAAAATGGTTTGGGTGTACAAATAATTGTCATGAATATATATATATAAGTATCTTGTATAACTATACCAGACAGTATTTGTAATTAACATATCCATGCTGATACACAGGCCTTGTATGCCTATGTAATATTTATATACGGAAGAAATAATACCATAAGACTATTTTAAAAGAAAGTCAGGTCAGTTGGTTTTCTCATGCGGTGCTCAGTGTGATTCCAAATACTCTCTCAGCTCAGCGCATATTACTATGACAATAAATTTTGGCAGTCTAAAGAATGGAAAGACATTTTCAGAGAAAAGAAATGCATCATCATCTTTTTGATAAATTTGATACCAATTTAGAGATCTGCTACTAGAGTCTTCGTTTAGATACGAAAAAATTAGTGGCGAAAACACATAGAGAGCTGTGATCCAACTTCTACAACCAACCACAAAAATCTGATTGATGTTACAGCAATCATTTTCCTCGCATTTTCAACCAACTCTGTACTCACAGAATATGCAAAATGACTACAGCTGGTTTTCACTACAAGCGACACTGATGGCCAACAATTTGAAGACAACTCTCATGGTGCAGAATAGGCATCCTTGAATGAAAATCAGTGGAGGTCTGTTCTATTCATAGGTGAGTCCCACAATGATTTGCAGAGTGATTCTTGACATGTTTATGAGTGGAAGAAAGCAAACACTCGGTATTTTCTATCTAGCATATGTAAAAGGGATACTTATGCAGGACGCAGTGTTCTTGTATGGGAAGGAATATCTTTAAGTGGGCATTCAGACCTGTGTGTGCCATCACAGGGTTCCCAGCCACATTTTAGTTAAAAAAATAAGCACCTATAAGCACTTTTCAAGCACATTTTAAGGAAATAAGTACCTGTCTAATTACATTATAGACAACTGCATAACCTTAAAAGAAAAATTAGATTTGTAATTTAAAATATGAGAAATTCAAAATATGAGAGAGAATGAGCATTACTCAACCATGGAAAACAATTACATTCTTTTTTTTTTTAAATTTTAAATAACAGTTCAATTTACAGAACTAGTTTACAATGAGAGGAAAAAAAACTATGCAGAACTAAATTATATTACAACACTGAATGATGAAATTTCAGTTCAAAATAGAGAAAATAAATAGTAATAAGCCATATTTATTACATTCGCTTGGCACCTAAAAATAAATATAATTTATTTTTCCACTCATATTAATATTTAAATAATTTAACTTAAATCAAAATTCTGAACATTTTCTAAATTTGCATTGTATAACAGTTTTCCCTTAACAGATATTGCAAGCAAAGTAATTTAAGTAAAAATAAGTAAAAAAAAAAGAACTTTTCTGAAATCAGAAGACGAGAAATTGCTTCATGCAATCATTCTTTAACAGTAAAAGCTTAACTAACCAGCATACTCGGAAATTGCCAAATATCTGAAAATTCCGGATAAAAGAGGAAGGGGGTATATTGTAGCTGTTCTTTGGATTTTTCAACTAAATAATGCTTTTGACATTTCGATATGTGCATCATATAAAAAATAGCCCAATGGAACTGAAAAAAAAATCTGCTTAGCAAGCACAGTAAAACTCTTTTATCTCAAATATCGCAAACGTTATTGCACAATATGTGCACCTTAATTCTTCCGCACGTGATATTACGCAATTGGAATCAACAGCTGCTGGTATTCAAAGAATAAATAACTAAATAAAGGAAAATGCCCGTTTGCTTCGTCCGGTTTTCACTCCCGTGTGTCCATGTGACATATTTATCATTGAGCAGGACACGTTGCACTCCATGCGATATCCCTGCCATACTCATATTGATTAATAAAGAGATTTACCAATCTGGGGTGTTTTTCATTCTAATTTTGAACAGACTGCATTAAATTTCCGGAATAGAATTATTCTTCGCTTGGGTTGGTTGACCACAGAACTTTTAGTCCTATTCCACCGATGCTGGAAAGTGACCCAAAAAAATATCCGCTGCTTTTCTTGCTGCGAACTGTAACGGTTTCAATATTCGAGATTTTGCGGAGAAAGGGGAGAACTCCCAATTCCATACGGTATAATGCATTGGCAAAAAAAAAAAAATTTTTTTTTTTTACTATTCGATTACTTTCACTTTTTATTTATGCCATTCTGAATATTATTCCTTAGAAAACTAATCTGTGTTAAAACACACTTACCCATTTTTGAAGTTTATCTATACTTCAGCAGTTACTGGAAATATATTATTATAAATATTCATACATATGCTCATAATATAAGCATACTGATTATAATAAACGCGAATATCAACTGACCACGCGGAACGAGAATGCAAATTATTAAAATCTTGATAGAACTTCAAACATGTGTAATACTGAGTAGGAGCAAAAGAATACGGAATGTACCGGAAATTTCTACTCTTTCGCAATTCTTTGACCAATAGAGCGATGTGCACCTGTATGTACTCGCATACACCAAAGGTTATGTTAATGCAGAGAAAGGGGCAAAAAGCTATTTCTTGCAGTATGATTCACCATCTGACGTTCCATATTATGTCCAAAAGGGCCTTTTTTAACATTTTGTGTTTTACTTTTATTTATTAAATATTACACCAGGTTAGCGATAAAACACGGGGACCCCTTTTACGAACCTCTTCGAGTTTGCCCAAGTAGACATTCCATATAAGGAAGAAAAGTTGTTTACTTAGTTTCAGCTTTGGTATGGAGAAAAAATCTGTGTTCGTTTAAAAAAACAAAAGCACTAAAAGCAAAAAATAAGCACTGAAAACAAAAAAAAAATAAGTGCTTTAGAGAAAAAGTAAGCACCTATAAGGGCTTTTATACTTTATTTTCAAATATAAGGACTTATAAGCACTTGTAAGGACCGCTACGAACCCTGTGTCACATGGAAATCTTATAGCTTTGAGGTACAAAGACAACATACTGGATCGTATTTTTAATTCACACATGGACACAATTGGTGATATCTTCATTTCACAAGCAGATAGTGCCTGCTCTCATACTGCTGGCCTCCTGCATCAAGAGATGAGGAAGAAACTACAGACTAAATGGAATATCCAGCTTGCTTTCATGACCTTAATCAAATTCAGCATGCATGGGATGCTCTCATTAGGCATGCTCTGGCCTCCAACCTCCTCCCCAAATCCTAGATGAGCTTACAACTGTTTTACATGATTGATGAGCATTGCTACCCATATAGCTCATTAACATCATAAACAGCACTGACATCACTGCCAAGCCTGTATTTCAGTTTCGGGTGATCATACTCCCCATTGAGAATTTGTGTTAAATTTTTATATCCTAATTTTCAAGATTTTTATGTTCCGAAAGCAATAACATATTGCTGTTTTAATAATATCACAGTATTGTTACCATCTATGTTAAAGAAATAATTAGAAAATTCCTAAATAGCCAAATTAAAATTTTGAAAGCCAAATGTCCTAAAACACTATAATTTTTTGTAGGTCTCAAACTATGCAATTAACAACGTGTGAAATGAAATTCTAAAATAGTAATTTAATTTCTCATGAAATAGCGAGTGAAAATTTTGGTAATGATCCAAACAGCTGTCATATGTACTACTTATTTATTTTTTATTTATTTCAGGCTCCACCATTAGGCAGTACACAGAAAGGGAGGGATACCCAGTGGAGGTCTTTTAAGGGAAACTAGCTTGTATTCACGTTACACATGGGCAAAACCATGAATACGCCCATACAGCCAGCCCATTCACCAGAATTTGAACCCTATACAGAACTATCAGTCTTCAGTGACTTTTACCGCTTGCACACTGGTGGGCTAATAATACTACTTAAAACACAAATGTAGTAACAAATGGTCATAATGGTTGTTTTTGGTATCTCTACCAAAAACAGAAGAGTTATGTATGTAAAGCCATAAATTAATTTTTGTAAAAATTACGAAAAATCTCCAAAAGTTAGCAGATAAACACATAACACTATATTTCCCCTGAAGGATAATAATGCACATCCTCGTAAGTTCAGCTTATAATTCTAGCTTGAATCCAAGGATATAATACAAATGGATTAGTCAGCCTTCTCACTATACTTAAACTTCACTGAATATTTATTGAATCTTAAAGTCCTCCACTATAAAACAGCTAATTTTTCAAGAATGGAATTCATTACTTCAGGAACTGCTGAAAGCTTCAACAACACTCCACCCATACAAAGATTTACTATTGCATATGATAAATGTAAATAGCCATACACAGTATTAAATGATTTCAGTTCCATGAAGGTGTATTCAAGATATGGGTTCAGTCATGCTCTGCATTCAATGCTTTCTTATTCTCTTTTCCATTTTTCTGCAAATTAAGTAAACTTAGGCTTCTGCTTTGTTTTTTCACCTTATAATAATTCTCTAAGCCTACTTTTCTATAGGATAAAACAAACCATCTCTGAAAGCAGATTTCTCAATAAAGAAAATATAATCATAAACAAAAAGTATAAGTAATAAAAAAAAACCTCTGCATGCAAAAGTGACATACACAAATTATATCTAATTAAAATACATTAAGAATGTAATAGTTTAAATTTTCTAAAAATATTAGGTTATTCCTAAACGGCAAAGCACATGACGGCTAAGGAAAGGGATGCCTTCACAGAGAATTTTGTGAGGTAAAATGGCTTACATTCATGTTACACATGGAGAAAGCCAAGAAAACTAACTATATAGATAGCCCATTCACCTGGGTCTGGACCCTGTTATACTAAGTGTATTCAACATTTTTTTAACTATTTAGCTGCTGGCAAGACTAAATTTTCAAAATGAACACACAATTAAGATTAATTTTTAAATTTAATTTATTACACAGTACAAAGTCCATAATCCGGACTCATCGGGACTTCGGCAATTCTGGATTAGGGTTTTTTCCGGATTATAGATCATCAATTTAAATCTGGCAAGATGGCATGCAAAAATTATACAATTAAAAATATGAAACCGTAATTTATGAAATACAGAGCAATTACGATCTAAAGGGCATCAAATTTTACAAAAAACAGCTTAATATTTATTTGTTTGTTTACTTTATTAAACATTTCTTTCAATGTGCGCATGCGTAAAGCATACTTTACGTTCATGCATATAGCATATAAAAAAGTTTGTGGCTTTGAGGTCCGGATTATATATCATTCCGGATAATGGACGTCCGGATTACGGACTTTGTACTGTAATATGATTTATTCTTGGCAGGTGCAATAAAGTTCCTTTATTTGTTAAGAAATTATAAAAATATGCTTTGAACTTACCCATCTGTCAGGATTACAGTTTTGCCTCTCATAGTGTAATTCTTGATCCAATTAGAAAAACTGATTAGTACACTTGTAAAACTTTCAGCACTATCCACTTCTTCCTATATACATAGATTGCACTAATAAAAATTCAGCACAACAAACTTCACTAAATATGAAGTGCTATTAAAATACGATTACAATTAAAGTTGAAGGAGGGAAATAATATATTTAACAAAATGCTAGAAACTGTACCCTATACTATGCTGGTTAAAGGACAAAGTAGTGTCATGCTTGGCAAGAGTAAAAAAATCTCAAAAGAAAAAAAAAGTAATGCACATTATGAACAAAAAATCTTTATTGAGATAAAACTTAGAATGATTTTTTTAAAAGAAAGAAAAGGAACTGCAAGCTAATACATTGCTTTTTATTTAGATTTTTGTTCTCATTATTTAACAAGCATGCTTATTCTGCTAAACATTAGAGAGAAGCTCAATGGATCTGAAGTGATTTGAGGTAGTTTGCCAAATTACTTGCTTTTGTATGGTGCATATAACTGCAGAAAGGACATTTACAGAATACATTACTTGCTGAATGCTACGAATCGGATACCATACTTATGTAAATCAGTTACATGTCCACTTTATCTTATTTATTGCTTTTATGTCCATGACAGTGCCTCCGTAAACGTACGGAGGCAAATGGTGGATATCAACAACAGTTTCATTACATTCGTCCGATAAAGTCTCAAAATAATCTAAAGCCTCTTCAAATGCTAAAAATCGCTTTGGATATGGCATGTCTGGCACAGACAAATCTGTATTACAAAATGCAGAGACAATGTAAAGTTTTTGTTGAAGTAAACAAGAGATTTCTAGCTAAAGAAGTAAACTTTCCACATCCCATTTACCACACACTCCTCTAAAGGGTGGGGACAGAGGGAAGACTAAACAAGAAACAGGTACTTTTTCTATGTCGTACTACTCCACATTCAACAGCAACAGAAGTTTTAAATCTCATTTTTCAACAATTTCAGAAAAGTAATGCAATTAAAAAAATCATGTAATTTTATACTATGAAAGGTGCCTAGTGTTCTCATTTCAAATACGAACATTTTCTTCCTTATATCAAGCACATTTTCTGTCAGATATTTTGGTTCATTTTTAAATTCTGGTTAATATTCCTATTTGGGGAGGATTTTTAATTAACACAATGTCAGAAATGTTAAAAAAGATGTCTTTTATGAATTTCTGTACATAATAGAATTATCTCTAGACAACGATTTTCATGCTAGTAATTTTTACAAAGCAGTTGATATAAAACTTTATTTTCAAATGAATTTTAAACTTTATGTTCCCATCTAGGATTGCTGTGTAAAAGGTTAAAGGAAGAATATACATGTTACCAAGAAAAGCAATTAAGTTTAGAAAGGTGCATCAGTTATAATTCCATACAGAACTAATTATTATTATATTAGCTGCACGTACAGTGCTAATTATTTGATCAGAGCAGTGATTAATGTTAAAAATTCAGGTTTTAAAAATGGAATTCATATTTATGAATTAGCAAAACATTATGTGACAGATATGGGATGATAATAATAATGCAATAGCAAGAAATATGAACCAAACCATGACAGCTCCACAAGCATTAAAATATGCGAATGAAAAGAATACAAAGAAGCTCCAAGAGAAAATAAAAAATGGAATGGTGGCAATGTAAATTTGATTTATTCAAAGTAAATGTAGAATAGAATTAGCTTAACTGAAAATAAGGCAAAATGAATCTGTAGACAATTACATGAATAGAGCTGTATTTCCGAAAAATAAAAGTATTCGAGTGGGAGATAAAATAAGAGATAAAGAATTAATATACTTCATATTAGAAGGACTTAGAAATAAATTTGAATTTGATTTCAAAATGATTAAAAACAACAAACAAAAGGATATAATTTCAATTAAACAAGAATTAAAAGAAACAGAAGAAAAATACAAACAGAGAGGACAAGAAATAGAAATAAGTTCTAAGGCAAAAGAAAACCAGACAAAATTGAAATATCATGAAAGAAGATTCTTTAAATGTGGAAAGTCAGGACATTTAATGAAAGAATGCCATAATAATAATAAAATAAAGGGCTTTGGTTGTGGAAACTTTGGCCAGAAATTAACTGAATGTAAAATGGAAACCAAACAAGAATATATAAAGCAGAGAAATTTAGCAAATAAAACTTAATAGCAAATAGAAGATCAAGCAAGGAAAGAGAATATAAATCAGCTACAAACTTAGCTGAAGCACCTCAGAAAAGAGAAGAAACTTCATGTCTTAATCGAGATAGAAATGACAAAGAGAATGAAACAGAACAACACACAGAAAAATTAAATCGATTATAAATTCAGTAGCCACGTCTCACTTGGCAACATGTAAAAAAATATTTACTAGTTTTTAAGATGAAGGACAACAAATAACGGCACCTGAAATAGAAGGCATGATCAAATCAGTTGGTATTGGTAACAATAAAATGCAAACTGGTAGAGATAAGAACATGTTGAAAATAAAAAATGTTTTGCAAGTACCTAATTTAAGTGAAAATCTACTGCCAGTATAAAAAATTGTAGTTCATGATTTAAAAGCACCTTTCACCAAAGCTAAAGCAGATATGATCAATAAACATGGAGACATTCTTCTATATACAGCTAAAGAAAATGGAAATAAATTCGAAGCTGATGGATATATAATAGAAGTTTGTACAGTCATTAGGTTATTTGAAGCAGATGTGAAAAATGAGCAGTGCCCTTGCCAGGACTCAGACCTGGACCTTTCAAATATTCACCGAGTGTGCTAACATTGCCCTATGAAGAGATGCTGAAGGAGGAAGAAAATACCTTACACACTCTCCCTATTAAAGGGAGACTGAAAATTAGGGGACCCAATCACCAAACAATTGTGTGATGAATTATTGTCCACCACCTTTTAATTCAGGCATCATTTGCAAAGTCATTAGATTGTTTTGAAGCAGAAGATGGGAAAAGTGTGCAATGCCCTCACTGGGGCTCAAACTTAGACCTCTCGAATGCACGCAAAGAGTGCTACCATTGCACCATGAAGACATACTGAAGGAGGGACAAAATATCTTATAAGCTAAAATTAATAATGTTAATGAGGCACTATGGCATCAGAGACTTGTCAAAGATTAATAGATATAATAATAATAAAAACACTCATCGGTTACTGGATTGGAAAGAGTAAACATTTTCAAAAACAATTGTGAACTTTGTACACTATGGAAAATGACACTTAAATGTTCATGTCATTTTTCCTGATGTACAATGTTACACACTTTTATAAGTGTGAAATTTAAGCAATCTGAAGATATTTTAGAATTATTGCATACAGATTTAGTTGGACCAACTGAGAACTCAATAGATGGAAGTTGTTATTTTTTAACAGTGGTAGACCATTACAGTAACTTCCTATTTGTGATAACAACTGAGGAAAAAAGTGAAACTGCAGTATCTCTATTCAAGCTTATCACCCAAGAAGAAAATAAAAGGGAAGAAACTAAAAAGAATTTGCACTGATAATAGCAATGACTTCCTAACTGAAAGTACAAAAGAATGTTTTGAAAAAAAATGGGAATTAAACATGAACTTACACCCCTTTACACTCTGGAAAGTAATAATGCAAAAGCTTTTAATCGTACTATAATCGAAACTGTTAGGACTGTGTTGACTGATGCAGAATTACCAGTAAAATTTTGGTCTGAAAGTGTTAAAGGAGCTAGCTGTACATGTGAATAAAAGAAGTCACAAAAATGACAAAACGTTTACACCATATTAATTATATACATGACGCAAGCCTAAAATTACTTACTGTAAAAGATTTGGATGTGAAGCATGTGTTTATATCAGACGAGAAAAACGTGGAAAGATGGAACTAAAAGCTCAAAAAGGAATTATTGTAGTCTATAGCTTGAATTTATGTTCCTGAACTAAATAATATTCATGAAGTGAGAGATGTAATGTTTAATGAGAAACTTGGATCACCTTTACTAAAAAGAAATTATTTAAAATTCAATAAAAGCCAAATATTACAAGAAGTTATCTTTTACAAGGAATAAACTTATGGCAGTATAAACAATTCAGGAATAATGGACCATAATAAAGAATTTCAGGAATAAGAGACCATAGAGAAGATGATACAACACATCAAGTAGCTGAGAAAATTTTGCCATCAAACACATATGATAAACACAATGAAAATAATTCATTAAAAATGCCAGTATTAGAGTATACACAAATAACTGTTAAACCTGGAAATGATGCTCATGAAATTTTGTATAGAAAAAAAAAACCCGAAGCCACCAGAAAAATTAAAAGCTTATGTTATTATACAATAAAAGTAAAGAATTGCCTAAGACATTTGATGAAGCTGTAGAATCTGTTGAATGGTCAGTTTTGGCTGCATGCAACGACAGAACTGAGTTCAATGGAAGCTAATGAAATTTGGGAATTAGTTAAAAGACCAATTGATAAGACAGTTATTAAAAGCCATTGGATATTTTCAAAAAAAAAAAAAAAAAAAAAAAAAGGATGAAAAGGGTAATTTAGACACAGTTTACAAAGGAAGACAGGTAGCAAGTGGCTTTAATTAAAGAAAATGAATTAATTATGAAGATGCATTTAGTCCAGTAATGAGACTTGCAACTTTTAGAACCCTATTATTATCAATTGAAGTTTAAAAAAAAACTACAAAATAATTTTTTTATATAAAATATCCATATTCAAATGGATATTTAGATAAAACAATTTACATGGAACCACCACCTGGATTTAGATCAGATCCCAACCAAGTATATGTTGTGAACAAAAGTGTATATGAATTACCACATTCAGGAAAATGCTGGTACAGTCAAAAGTAGTTAATCCAGACTCGTCGGGACTTCGGCGATTCCGGATTATCAATTTTTCCGAATTATAGATCATCAGATTAAATCTGGTAAAATGGCATGCAGAAATTATAAAATTAAAAATATGAAACCCTAATTTACGAAATAAAGAACAATTATGATCTAAAGGGTATCAAAATTTACAAAAAAAAAAGCTTAATATTTATTTGTTTACTT